AATTTGGAAGAAGCACTTCAGACCTTGCTTGAACCCCTTTCTTCTGTTGTTAAATCACCAACTTTTCACAGGCTCTTATGTGAGTCTGATTTTTTTTTTAAATCACTACTAGCCATGTTTACTTGGCATATTCCTTAAAATAACAGCAACTATTTTTTTGAGATTCCTTCCAGCAGACCAATTGTAATGAACAGCAGAGATATACTGTGTCCAAAACTCACTTTCTGAATCAATTTCATAGCATGCAGAGGAAGAGTAGTTAAATTGTGGTCTTCTAGGTCAGGGGTCTGTCTCCCCCTTGGTAACTTTAAACCTGTCAACTCCCAGAATTCCCCAAACAGCTTTGCATTTTTCTAAAATCTGGATTTAAAAACTGACAGGCTCTTCTACCTTGAAAGCTAATAAATATATATTTTTAGAAAATTCTCTAATAATAAAAATATGTAAATGTGCTAAGAGAGGTAACAGAATTATCTGAAACCTTACTATGCAGAATTCAGGAAAGCCTAAGGCTCTTAAATAAAAAGAGAGAACTTGTGAGAGATGCTTCAATAAAAAGCAAGCAAAAATCCACTTACCCGTAAGTGGGACCGAGGAAGTGTATGCAACTCCTGATTTCATCAGTCAAGATAAACATACAGAAAGGAGGTTCATATATTGCATGGGTTCTTGCAAGTATCAATCTCTTAGGGTACTTTATAATCCCTGTGCTGTTCAAATGGGCAAATCGAGTTCCAAACTGTATTCACAAAGTTAGATGGATTGCATGAACGAGCAAAAAAAAAAATCTGCATGATAATGATGTCAGAGACAACTTAGAAGTTAAAAGAATAAAAGGGGACAAATATCTTAAGATTTATTGGCCACAATCCATTGTTTTAAGATCCAAAAAGAAATGCAATGGTAGTTGTTCAATTGTGTAGTTCCTAATATCATGTGCTATTCAGAGTTCTATTAGCATTCAAAAACTCTCTCGCTGCTTTGTTTTCCCTTAAAAGTGTTTAGCATCAACCCTATACTTTAGTTTTGCATGGAGATGTAGCCAGCTATTGCCCTCAAGAAAGATTATACAAGCAACACAAACTGTTACAAACCATTAAAACTCACTTTACTTTTTCTCTTTCTGTGTAAAGAAAAGAGATGGAGAGAAAAGGGGGAAACTGGTCATTTTTTCCCACTCCTTCTCTAGCCACAGTTGGCATGAGAAGCAGGGAAGAGGGCAAAAGGTAGGAGAGAAATGAACAGCTCCTTTGGTGCCAAACTCCTAATCCCACAGAATGAACACTCCAATCTCCATGGACACTCCATGTCTTCTGTTGCCAGCTACTGGTGCCAAAGAAGGCACTTCCTATTCCACTCCTATTCTGCTTCCTTGCTAAGGCATAATTGCTTTGGGAAGTGTGGCCAGCCCTTTCAATAAGCTAGCAAGAGTTTTCTGTTGGCTCCTGCTCTGCATAGCAGCATTTTCATGCTATCCTGCTGAAGAACCCCAGGGATGCATATTTAGACAATGTAGAAAGTGATTACATTGACAGGATCAATACATTTTTAGAAGCCATAATATTCCAGGAAGGAAGCACCACAAATAGATGCAAAGCTCAACAGTCCCTAGAGCAGGCACTGTAGTTTTAGTGACGTTCTCCCCTCCTCCTTATGAAATAAGGATGGTGTAATAAACATTCTAAAGTCAAGTATTCATCAACAAGCTAGACAGAATTTGCCATCAACCTTTGTCAGGTCTCCAGAATTTCAGGAGTTTAGCATAAGCCAGCATAGTTAATGGAAATCATGTAGGCAAATTAGACTTTAAAATTACCTCAGCTGTTTGGACTGCTAGAGTTAATATCCAATAAAGTATAATTCTCAGATTACATCAGACTCATTCTTAGTGTTATCCATTACTGCAGGGTTAATGACAGATCTCTTGCCCTTATAGTGTTAGATATACATAAAGCCTTCGACAGATTTCATCAGGGTTTTATTTTTAAATCTAAACAGAAAAAAATGATAAGAATCATTAAAATCATTTTTTCCCTATGTACCAAATCTTGACAGCTCCAATTAGGGTTAATAGAGTTGATTTTAAAAAAATTATCTAGCAAAGCACCACACAAGAATGCTAATTTATTCTTACTGCTTTTATTCTACCAATGGAATCTCTTAGCAAAAATATCCCAGAAAAATATAATCTTGTACGATTCAGATCAAGAGAGAGAAACTTCTAGTCTTCAGATTATATTGAACTAGAACTCCCAGTAGCTTCAGAAAAGATAAAAACCTGAAATAAATAAAAACTGTCTTCTTTTCGGGAAACTCTCCTAGGAGGAGAAAGCCACCGCCTGAATAGTTTGTTGGTGTTTGATTTTTTCCAACTGCTTGTTCCCTGTATAGCAAGATCAAGCTGATGTTCCATTTATAGTTGAGAACCTAAACTCTTGGAGAATTTATCTGCATTCACTACATTATTTCATGGAAACCCAAGAAAAAAAAAGGAGATTCTACAGAATCTGTATTATATATAGTCTTAGGTTTGCAGATATAAGTCCCCCAGTCATAACTTCAAGGAATATTCTTGCAGGATTGTATCCTAAATAAAATATGAAGAAAAAATAATGCGTATAATGTGAAAAGTGAGGTGATCCTAAATTCAGTTTCTTTTAGGCACATTTTGAATTTGGGATATTTGCTAGGAACATTCTTAGCCAAAGACAGACATTAGGGCTGTAGCCAATCACACTATTTATCTTCACCATAGGGCAAACTGGTTAGTTTATTCCCTACCAACCTGTTCTCTTAGGCAGGTGAGTCTTTTTTCTAGTAAAACATTATAGTATTACTTTTATTTTCTAAGAATGCATCAGGGCCTTTCTAAGGCTAGACAAAAAATGGAAATAAAGGTTGTTTGATTTACATTTTATTATACTTTTTAATTTAGAAAACACTAAAAAAACCCTCTATTATTATATATTCAGGTGGAGAATAGAGCTTGGTGGCAGGTGCCAAAAGAGGTACCAGCAGGCAACATTGGTCATTTAGTTATAATATAATCTATAGCTCCATTCTGACCCCCTCCAATCTCCTCTGCTGCCCAGTGACATTCAAACAACAGGACTTTATAGATTAAATTGTGCATAAAATTAAGAAATAACAGAGCAAAACAACAGCCTTCACTAACGTACTTTGATTTGAACTAAGGAGTTGGAAGCATAAGTACAACTTTATTATGGAATGTAGAGTCTCTATACATGTAAATAATAAAACAATGCTGAAAGAAAGACTAAGCTGCAGAGTATAGACAACTTTGCTTTAATTTGAGTATATATACTTCCAAACTGGATACACTAGAAATTGGCAATGCAACGTAAGATGCAGAGAAATATACTAATTACTGTCAAAATGACCCTGTACAGCCTTATAATGCAAAAAAAAGCTTTATACATTACAAATTTCCATTAATGTACACAAACCTTGACAGTGTGATATTTGAATATGATACAGCAAGTTAAAAGAAAAAGGGAAAGCAAGAAAGGTGCTGAGAATCTAACCAATTGAAAACAAGAAGCCAGCCTATTTTAAGGAGTGCATAGTGAGGAAAAACAGGTACAAAGTGAACCGTTGGTACAAACATTAAGTTTTTTTTAACAAGCAAAGGGTATATTAGTGAGCATTCCTAGTTTTAGTGTCAAACAGCGAACCAATTCTTGGGTATGCAAGGGCTCTGATAAATACCGTATATTTTTTTCTTACAAAAATAAAAAAACCTCAAATTCTTTTTTTTCCTCTTAAACAGAAACAATGCATAATTAACTTTCCAGAAATAATTCAGTGGTCAAAGTGCTAAATAAAGCTGCCCAATTACATTAAGCATTACTATGACAAACAAATACAAAAGGAAACTGGTTAAATCCAAGGCATTAAATTGCTCATAGCATCATAATACTCTCATTCCTTGAAATCCCCTATGTATATTGCACTATTTGGTTTACAGAAAAAAATGCTTATAACATTCCTATGCATGCGTAGCTTACTTGCTGACACAATACTTATATTTTTTCTTTTTTTATAGGGTTGCCTGTTGCTTGGAAGTTAACTTAAAACACCTTGAATATATGTAATTGCAGTAGCCACTTGTAGGAAGAAATCTCCATTATTTTGCCACAAATTGTTAGCATTCTAAATTATTATGCTCCCTAATGAGGATTAACTTTATTTCTTCCAAAATTATCAGTTGAAGAGATTTATGAAGCTTATACTTTAATGGCAACTGTAGCTGAATAATTGCTTCAAGATCACTCCCAAAACAAGTTTCCCAAACCTCCAGAGCTTAGGTTGCTTCAGTCTGTTACTGGCCACATGAATTGATGCATAACTTTAATCACCGCCAAAGTATGCTGTCTGGGATGGAAGAAAGCCATAATCCAACATGCATAGAAGGTACTGGGTTGGGGGAGGCCGGATTAGATAATTGAGCTCAAACTCTTATTCACTATTTGGCAATGCTGTTGCAGCCACGTTCTAGGTAAGAGAAATTGGCCAGATCATTCATTCATTTGCAAAATCCTACCTGTACTATTACAACACCATTACTGTGGCACAGCTGGATCTGCCACAGCTCTACTCCCATATGACAGAGCACTGTGTAGCTTTCAGATCCCATCCCATTCTTTACTAGTCTTCTGTTGCCAGGTTTCAGGACTCATGAGGTTGTTAGGGTGCACAGGAGCCCTATTCCCCAAGATGTGCATCACTGGAAACAAGGAAAGGAGGGGGCTATTAATGGCCTTTTCCCCATGACACTTATCGGGCCAACAGGGTTAACTGAGATAGCAACCAGCCACGAGGGACTTAGAACTAGCCATAAACAAGTTTGCAAAGAATAAATTAAATCCCTCTGGTTAGCCATATTGCCGCTGACCACGGGGTTAATTAACACAGATCTTGCCTAGGATAGAGATGAAATTTTAGAGAGGCCTGTAAAAGGTTTTTTTTCCCCACCTTGACTATTTGGCTGATTTGGTTTCCACCCTCTTGTGACTGAATAGCAGGGAAAAAAAAGCATGTAGGAAATGGGTAAAAACACCCTTCTCCAAATTTATTTTTTCACTCTGATGTAGGGTGAAAAAAAAAAGGAAAACAAGTCTTCTGGTTCCCTCAACAACAGCAGAATTTAAAACAGGTTCCCAGCCCATGGACCAATCCATCCTTGATTGTTGCTTGCGCACGATGGATGGTGAGTATTACTTGGCACATGGATGAGGTTAATCATGTCATGGGAACAGGAACAGGAACTCAGCCTTCCTCTATTTTATGTCTTCAGGGTGTCTCATGTCTTCAGCCTGTATTGGGCTTCCATCACCAAGCAGCCTCTGCCAGCATGATGAACAGCTGGGGGAAGGCTCCAAGAAGTGATGCTGACTATTGCATAGTATTGCAATGCCACCTCTGTGGCACTATGTCACGGTTAGTTCATCACATTATACCAACCTTATCTTTTGGTGAATAGTTCCCAACATTTCTGAAAGTATTTTTATCAGGCTTTAGTGCAATAAACAGGGTCCCAAAATTTCTCTTAGGAGATTTAAAACAATGAGTTATTTTACCATAACAGTTAGCCAAATAAGGCCCTACGTTGGTTAAACTTAGTGAACTTTCATTATTTTGACTATGCGTGTTACTTCAGTGTCATAAATTGCTAGTATTTAGGCTTTCTCTTTCCTTGTTCTTTGTTGCAAGATCTTTGAACACCCCCACCCCCCCCCATATTTCTTTAGTGGGGAAAACATTTATGATAGTGATTTATAATAAATGTTCAGCGCATGGGCATTTTTTGAAAATCTTAGGAAATGTTAACATTTAGAAGATCAACCGCTAGGAATGCAACATTTGCTTCTACTGCAATAAAGTGCAATATTTATGTCATTTTAATGACTAAAAATAAGAGCCTTAAGAAAATATAAAGTTACCTTCCTAGAAGAGTATACTTGAGTAAGCATTAGCAAATGTTATAAAGGGCTACAAATAAGGTGAAGGGGACAGGACACAAAGTTGCCAGTATAGCTGAATAATTGGACATATAAAAGAGAATTCTATAATTAAACAGCACCTTTTTCTCCTTCCATTTGAAAGAACTTGCACCTACTTTTCAAATGTACATATTTTTCAGTAAAAAAAAGAAACATTATCTTTGATATGTTTCTTACTTTTACTTTTTTTTTTGCTAGTGAGAAACATACTAGTGCAAGACTCAACCTCTGTGCAAAACCTGCCTTTATTTAGTCTGAGCCCTAATGCCCAGTATTTAAGAGATCCTTCCTTTCTAAAATTCCTTCTTCTGGGTTTAATCACTTCTAAATGTGCATCCTTGCCCTCACAAACTAAGCTAACCACTGCATTCAAACCAACTGAGAATGAGTAGATGGGAATTTGTGGCCTGAGGGATGTTTGCTATATTTTTCTGTAGTCGCCTTGCATCAAATTTGAATAGTGCACATATTTTTGAATCAGATATTTTTCTTTGTTGCTAGAAGTGAGTTGGCAAAATGATCACGTTTCTGCCTCCAGTTATCTGACCAAGGAAAGCAGCAATTTAAATGTAATGTGTTATGTCCAGTCTAAAACATATGCCTTATCATATGTACCTTGACCTTGGGTGTTTGTATCCAAAAGTATTTTTAAAAAGGACCAAGTCACACGGATGTAACCAAACAATCAAATTGGGGGGCATGTATACAACACACTTGTTGTTTATAAATCTAGCTGCCTTCTCATACATGACTGTTAAGTACTCAGGACTGCTTTAAACATTATCTTTTTTCCTTCATAGAGATAATCACATTGACTGCATTATTTCAAGGGTAAAAGGAGTGTTTGTTTTTTTTGCTGGGAAGGGTCAGAACAGGAATAAACCCATGGAGCAGCAGGTATGAAAACTTGGCTACCTAAATGTGTACACAGAGAAAAGCCCTTCATGTTACATGTGTACATGCACTGGCCATAGAGAATATCTCCATGTAAGAAAAAAGTTGCTATATGGAATAGCATCACCTTGCAAGGTTAAAGAAATTTCCCCTCTTCTGCTTTTGCTCTGATCACCAAACTCTTAAGATGTGAGACTAGACTAGCCGCTATTAACATAGCAAATTCCTAGCAAGACTGACTGCCATGCTAGTTCTTCTTGATTGTTGTTCTTACATTCCATAAACTGAGCAGTAAAAGAGAAGCAGGCAAGGTGAGCAAGCCTGGACAAATGCAATGTTTCACAGGGGTGGAGCTACAGCTCAGTGGTAGAACACATGCTTTGTATGTATAAAGATCCCAGATTCAGCCACCAGCATCTCTAGTTAAGAAATCTCAGGAAGCAGCTGCTAGATATGACTTCTATCCGAGACCCTGGAGAACTGGTGTCAATCATAATAGACAATACTGGGCTCGGTGGACTGTCTGATGCAGCATAAGGCAGCTTCTTAAGTTCATATTAAATAAGCCAGTACAAAAGAATGTGCAAAAGCAATGCCATGGCACACAGACTCTTTTTTTAGAAATGCTCAGATTCACAACCCAAAGTCAAATGCATCAAAGGGTCATCTTAGCTAGTGCTGACTGCCATTAAGGACACTCTTATTCAGCTTAAAAGAGACAAAAGTGTTTCTCAGATGAGAGTACAGAAACATGCTTCTGAAAATAGAAATATGTAGGAGGTCGTCTGTCTGAAGGTTTAACAAAGCAGCCTTCATGGGCAAGTATTAAGGAGACGCGTGGCGCCATTTTCTTTGCTGTATCTTACCACTAACAATATATTGTACAATTAGTTGGGCAGCCAAACTCTTGGGTCTATGGTTTGAAATAAAACCTGCTTGGAGTCTGGTGGGTGGGTCGGAGGTGGGGTGTGGAGGATTTTTGGTAGAGAGGAGGCTGTCCTAGAGAGCTTCTGCTCTTTCTGTTAGTCCGAGATAGGCCAGGAAGGAGTGCTTCGGCGAAGTGTCATCCACGTGTAGGGTCTGTGGTTGAGGTGAATGGAATGTGATTTCAAAGTGGTTTTTGGGGAAAAACATGGTCAAGGGAATGAGGTGGGCAAACTCAGAGTTCCGGTATTTATCAAAGCACAGGGAAGTGCCATTTATGGTCAAGGCCCTCAGCGCCAGGTTTGGCTCTGTCCCGCCACTTTGAGCAGCTGACATGGCCACTGTCTGTAGAGCATGGGAGGCTGACATCATTGAGAGAGGGGACAAGAGGGTGCGGGAACTGTTGGCCATGAGCAGGGGGCTGGCTTCCTTGAAATTCACACCCTGCCCCTTTTTTTCCTCTTCAGAGCAGTCTCCATTTTGATGTTTCTTCACATGGCGGCTGAAGACAAACGGGTGGGTGGTCTTGAAGAGGCACTCTTCGCAGCTGAATGTCTGCCGGGGTGCATGTTTGAGTTTCTTGTGCAGGTTGAGATTGTCTTTGCGTTTACAGCTGTAGCTGCACTGGTCACAGTGAAAAGGGCGTTCCCCTGTATGCACACGCACATGCTCTATCAGCTTGTTGGCAGTCTTTGAAAGATAGCCACACTGATCGCACTTGTAGTGGTTGCCAAGGCGATGCTCTCGAACGTGCATTTCCAGCTCGAGCTGATTGGCTTTCACTGCTTGGCAGATCCGGCACTTGTACTCCATTTTGTAGTGGGTTTTCAAATGGCATTCCATTGCTGCTGGACGGTTTGTGGAATAAATGCAGAAGGGACACCTGTGAAAATGTAAAATATAGATTGATACGTGGATCTAGATCAGCTGGGAGCAACTTACAGCACATATAGAGTTCCCAGAACCTTTTAATGTCTCTCAGAGTATGCAGGACTTATTTCTATAGCATGTTTTTCTTTTGCTTAGGGGTAAAAAAATTGATAACTAAAGTTTTGCGGGAATTTAAGCTATTCATCAGGCTGATTTTTTTCTCTGCTTTGGGAGGGACAGCTTTTTTCTCTGCTTTGGAAGGCCCTGAAAGGATCAAGACAAAATGATGACTTATATGTTTCACTTCCCTCCCCAAATCCCTCTAAGGGCTACGATTCAGTTCAGTTGTACCTATCATCATGATGTCACTGATCAAATCCCTTGGGAGCTTCATGGGTGTGTGTGTTAAAGTGCAAGCCCTAACCATAACCTATTAACCCTGCAATTTTTAAAAAAATCATTTTTCAAACTATTGTCTTTTTCTTTTGTTTTTCAGCAACTGACTACACAGAAAATGGAAAGATTTATCAGACACATTTTAAACTACAACGTTGATATAACCAGAATATAAAGTATGAATGAAGCTTTTAATTAAGCTTTAGTCTAATCGTTAATGTTTTATTAATAAATAAATATTTACTGAATTTGGTGTAACCATATTACTACTTAAGGTTTTCTCCACTGCAACGTCTACCTCCCAACTTGCTTTTAAAATTTTTACCTTGGGAGATGCCAGCTCTCTCCTTCTATCTTAAAAAAACAAACCCTTATACATTATTTGTCTCTATAGGGTGATATCATCATTTCTATGGTAACCTTGCTCCTCAATGTCTCTTGGAGAAAAGAGTTCTTTTCCAGATGAGCCATTGCAAAGGCAAGAAGACCAGAAGATGCTGTATTTCAGTGACTTTGACACAAAAGAAGCAAATGCCATTGCAAAACTCAAAATTAAACAGCAAGTGAACTGTGGGCTGGGCTTGTAAGGGAGACTTCAGGAGAATGCCAGCTGCTTTTTTGCAATGCCAAGTGATATTTAAAATTAAACAGTAGGTGCTGAAGCAGCAAAAGCCTTCCATGACTTGCTGGTTGGCAGCAGCTGGAGAAACAATGGGCAATCTTGATGGCCACATCAGGGACTCAATCTGCCACCCCTTCCAACCTGCTGGTTGAGCCACAGGACTCATGTGGCACGATTTTCCTATGGGCTCATCTTCCAGATTTTGTTTTAATATTTTTTCTCTGTTAAGTGCTTCCTGGAGTGATTATTTTCTCCTCTTGTATGACATGGATTTTCTGGGGCTGCTTAATAGATCTGCTCAGCAGTTCAACCTTACAAGGCAAAAAAGGAGCATTTGGAAGTATAAGGTGCTTATGTGCAGCATCTGTCTGCCTTCCTAAACATCACTCCAACAAACTCCAAGAAAAGAGAGGGGCTATACTACATTTCGCCACACTCCCTGCCTTCCATCCCAAAGGGATGCTCACTCCTACTGCTGAACACGTGAAATCACCATACAATCTAAGAATACACAGAACCATCTGATGTTTTCATTTGTTGTATTTCTTCAATTTAAAGACAAGAGGGATGAGGGCTAGAAAATATTCCAAGATCAAACCTTTTTTTGCAAAATGTCCTCCCACTTCAAGCATATTTAGCTGTTTTAAAGTTGTACCTTGTTTTCAGAACAATCTAAAAATTGAGAATCTGATAGGATGTTGTAATTGTTTAACTTACTGCCTATCACTTTCCCCAATATTCTAGTAAAACATTTTCTCTATATATCAAAATATTTAATTACTTTAAATGTAATTTTCAAACTTCATAAAGTAGTGTAGATTTAACTTTATTCACATCCGATAATGCAGCCCAAGTACTTTTGCAAACTACAGTAGTGAAATAAATAGGCTAATTGGAATAGTTTAATTGCATGTAGTCTACATATAGTCATCCTGATTCAACAGCAGATAAATCCATTTCACAGGGTGCATTAAGTACTTTTTGAACTTGATACTGATTTTGATCATATACCATATACCCACCCTCCAAAAATGCCTGCTCATGACTAGGCTCCCATTGCTCTTAATATATCCCTGTAATTTCCTGGCAGTTTCTGGAGGGTAGTCAAATATTCAATTCATCCTGCCACGTGGTTCTTTTCCTTTTGTGCACATCTGTGTGCAGAAGACAGTGCTTGCTTATGCTGTTTTTAGTCTTCTGCAACTCCATTTGACAATCCCAACTTTTGCTACCATATGTCCCCCTTGCCTCTGCAAAAAGGTGAGATTTACACAGAGTGAGCGTGGCAGAACTCTTTGGCTTCTGTGGGGGGACAGTCCTCTCATCCAAGAGATGCTAATCATGTTCAATGCTTTGAGAAAATTTAAAAGCAGTAAGCTCTATTTCACAATGAAAGGAGTGCCTCATGACACCATTTCATTTGATTCTAAATCTTGAAAGGAGCAATTCTAAACTTTTACAGGAAGAAGTTAAAAGTCACTGAAACTCTTGGAAGAAACACTTTAAACCAGGTGTGTACAATCTTGGCAACTTTAAGACCTGTGGGCTTCAATTCCCAGAGTTCCCTAGCCAGCCACACTGACTGGGAAATTTTGGGACTTGAAGTCCACTAGACTTAAAAGTTGCCAAGATTGGTCATCCCTGACTTTCTCTGCAATGTTTTTATTACATTCACATTTTTCATTGAAATTATTGTGTTTTATTAAATTGTTGCTGGTTGCACTTTCACGGATGTATTTTTATATCAATAAATATAAAAGGTGATAAAGAAATCCCACTGAGATTAATAGCAAACTGTACTTCTAGTCATTGGTTCTCTATTTCTGTACCAATGGGGGCAGGGACTACTACAGTGGAATAATTGTACAAAAGAACTGTTAAGCATATACGGAATCTGCTGCTGACATCAACAGAATTTCAACATGTTTACTATTATCCATAAATGAGACCACAGCCTTGAAAATATCATTTTCCTTTTCAGTATCATTAATATTTTTGAATTAGTGGTGTTCAAGAAACCATCACTGACAATTTGTTATTACTATTATTATTGATCCTTTAAATTTTATGGCATATTAAATTGTGGTTTGTCATCTAAAGTCTGTACAAATCGGGGCAGTCTTTAAATACTTACATAAATATATAAACAATACAAATTTAGAGGCCCCAACTGTCAGTTGAATAGAGTAAGACTTACAAATATAAGAAGACTTAATTCTCAGAAATGCTTGCATTAGATTAATTATTAGTGACTTTTAATAGTGTAATGATTTAAGAGTTTATAGATAATAGAAATTACTGAAAATACTTTACCATCAATTATCATGTGGAAGTTCTAAACTGTTACAAATGTAAACATTTGGGCCATGAGCTCTTTGTAACTCATAAAAGTAGCCATGAAAGATACAGCTGCTTTAATGAATCAGAGAATGTTGCATTCATGCTTTCACACATTTCAGAGTAACTGTTCCTAATCATAACTGATAAACATATAACTGAATATTAATATTTTAATCCAGTGATCTGCTACTACTGATGGCATATGCCTACTCCATTTCAAACCAGATTACCATGTTGTGGTAGCATTTGTGTCTTTATTAGGCTGAAAACTAAGGCTTAAAAAACTTCTAATATAAATTTGAAGCCATCATTGGTAACTGATGTTAAAAAATTATCAGTCAGGATTAGTCAACCTAGCACTGATACATTGGAACTGCATTCTAGAATTTCCAACTAATACAGTACTTATAGGTAATGTAACATATCTGTAACATACCATGAAGACCTACCAACAGTAGATAATATTTACTTATTTTAAAAATAATCCATTCAATACGTTTATCTGTATTTCTTTGAATTAGTTTAACAACTTTTAATGTCATTATCATAAGGCAATGTTTAAGAATGTTCATATATCTGATCCTGATCCTATGGATCTATTTTCGCTACAGACACACCAAACATTTATGCCGCTGTTGGTTAAAAATAAAAACAGTAATACTCAACACTATCATTCTTGTTTAGTGCAGCATCCGTGCACCTAAGAAGCCAGGTGGGTTTCCTTTCTAGTAGCCACTAGGTAACATGTGATATTTCAAATGGTACTGAATTATAACTCCCACCATCACTATTAACCATGTTTCCTTGGGATGCTGAGAGATATAGTTCAGCAACATAAGAAGTGCGACACATTGCTGTACGTTGCCTTTTCCTGATTTACAGCAACTTAAATTTGTTCTTCCTAATAAGCTCTCTGGCTTTATCACCCCCAACATTTCCATGTTCTCCCATGCAAGTATCTCCGTTCCTACTTCCACAGTGATCAAGGTACTTAACACAGTAAAAGTTTGTGTACTTGCTTTCCTTACTTGAGCCCACCAGTGGGGACAGTATGGCATTTCTTGTGCTCCAGTAATTGCTCAGGAGTCTTCATGAACTTGTGGCACACATCACATTCAAACATCCGTGTAATCAGGTGGATTTGCAAATGGCGCTCAAACATGGTTTTTGTTTTGCAGACAAAGTTACAGAAAACACATTCAAAACCTGCAGAAGGAAATTACAGACACTATTACCTAAGTCACGCACGACAGCCTTGAGAAAGTGGAGGGAGTCACTTTGCATTCCTTCGCCAACTTTTTACCTTTCTCTGATTTTTCTTCCGCATTTAATAGAGTCTGACTACCAGGCACTACGGAAATAACTAGCAGGTTATTGGGTCCCTTGGGTTTGGGGCTGATATCTGCTTCTTCTTTACTATTAGCAGAATCACTAAGTGCTGACAAGGAAGAAGAAGAAGGACTGGTTGAATCACTGGGTGTTTTCCTTTCTTCACCTAGAAAAAACAAAATCAAAGGAATCAATGCGAAACATTAACCTGCTTATTGAAATCAGCATGAAAGCAATTCAGCTCAGAGATCCATACATAGAAGCATCTGTCTTTGTGCATCCCTACCTACACAATGCAAATCTAAGTTGATTGGGTTAAATGCAGCCTCCTCTTTAATTAATTAAGCTAAACAAATTTAAGCTTTCCTGGGTACAACTGTATTTCCTTGAAACTCAGATTAAGCACTTCAAGCTATTACGTCTGTCTCTCTTAGTAAACCGAATGGCTCAATTTATCTTCACAATCCTTCCCACGTCCTCTGCAAAAGGTCAGTTGATTTAAATACCAAAGCAAACAGATTATGGATGGGTGGTGGACATTGGTGGATGCTGGTTTATTTATGTCCTCCTCCTGAGCAGCTGCAAAGTTGAAGAGTAGGTGCTCTGCAAAATACATCTGCATTTTAAGGAGATAAAAAATTAATAAGTTGACCAAGTGAAAGGGCCCTGTTTAACAGCATGTTTTTATGTTATGGCTAGTGTTGGGTTATGTTGAATTAGCCTGCAGTTTTGCACCAACAAGCTTTAACAAAACTTTATTTTACCGTTAATATAAGGGAATGAAGCTGAAGCTGATTTGGAAGAGAAGGTTGCCTAGCTACCCTGAGAATGTAGCCAGAGCCCCCGGACTGACCTTATCATCGATCTAAAACTAAGCTTTGAACTATTTATTGCATGGATAACACTGATATAATTTTTGTGCTTTATTTCAGGAAAATGGCATTTCTTGGACTGTAGGTGCTTGTTAGATTTTAATGAATTCTTATAATTTCACTAAGTTAGCAATGTTGTTTTGGAACTGTCAGTGTACAAGCCAGCCTTGCTAACAAAGTTAAATTTCCAACAGGTAAAATCCAAAGCAGTGCATAAAACACTTAAGAATGCCTCTAAGATATTGGTCAAGTGTGCTTTGGGTTGCCTGGAGTCACTTCAGCAAGTCATTATGTGAGTGATTGAGCACATGGCTAAAGGAAATTATTGGCAGGAAGTTTTGATCTTTTTAAGTATGATTTCCTTTCTGAAATGAAGTAAGGCTTTTTTTTTGAGGGGGTTAGTGTCCAATGTATATCTCATTCTAGATTTAAGACCCAAATAGACACCTCTTTTGCCTGCCAGATCTTACTTTGTAGGCTCTGCAAAACAAGAGTGAACTAATAATCCTTGTGATGTATCTTCTGGGACAAAGATGATCACCAGCCAGCTTGAACTTGTTTCTGAAGTGCCAGAGAGCAAAAAGGATGATGGGATGGGAAGAACTTTTATCTCAGTGTTTCTATCACCTCTACAGTTATTAATATATGAAGTCAGGCTTCTAGCTTTTTTTTCTGTAGTTAAAATGCTGCCTTTTCTTCTTCTTTCTGGAATTACCAAGTCTACAGTAATCTCTTCCATGTACCTTTTTGTAGAAGATTGTGTCCAGATTGTTTATAATGAATCTGTGTATGGCACATTAATACACAATTTTATATTTGGGAACAACAGCTGGATTGATTAGTATTTACTTGGCTGAACAGTTCCATGTATCCCACTTATAGAAGTAGCATTATTATACCGATGAGTTTTTAAAAACAGTTAGCTGTATATGATGCTTTTGTACCACTTGTACCAATTTACAATTATTTCAAAGCAGTAAGGCTGTGGCCTTTGAGTGACATGTCAGAGACTGCTCTCCCAAAAGCAATGGTGGTCAGAACAAAGAAATTGACAGGGTCCTGGCACAACTAAATCTAATTAACATGCAGCAGATTGTAATTACAGCAGAACTACTTAAATACATTGAAGCTGATTAAATGTGCTTAATACTTTTCCAATTCTGTCACATTAAGCATTAGAATTTCATTGCAAACTCTTGAAGGATCTTTGAGAGGGACACATTGACAATATAGGGACTGCTACATTTACCTATTTCCTTTATCTGCCTGCTCCTCAGTCCAGAAAAAAAAAGGACTAGTTTGTTCCCTTCTATTCTGCCTTATGCATACGTGAAGTTCCAAGCAGGATTAAAATACTTCATTTTTCTTTTATCAGTGACAGTCCCATATGACTAAATTTTCCAGGCACTTGCCCACAGGAACTGGAGTGTTAATGCAATGTTGGGATTCTAATTATTTTAATTTTTCAAATAATTATAATTGGACAAATTATATTGCATTATTCCTTAGGCAAAATGAAAATCAATGGGAAATTAAGCTGTGGAACCTATTAACATCCTAACCAAAGCAGTTTATGCCTGACAAAATCTTTTTTCACCACCACTGAAAATGCCTAAAGACCTTCATTAAATAATAGGGTTTGCAGTAAATCTAGTAGATAAGTCTTCTATTTCCAGTCTGAATTAGAACTCCAAAATATTTGGGCACTGACAGGAAATGTTTTTCCTTCTCAATTTATTTAGCATTGATGTTCAGTGAAATGCACTTTTTTTGCAGATAACACAGTTGAGAAAAAGGAAAGCAAGTATTGGTTTAACAAACAGTCCTATTTTGGTTTGTATTTTAATTTAGTTTTGTGTAGTTCACGGTTCAAAATTTAGAGACAAAACCAAATGCAAGTTATAAACCAATGTATGCATTTTTCCAAATCTAGTTATGCAGTTTTAGCTCTAAAACCCCCTACAAAATGTGTATTAGGACAGAAACACACATATGTACACCTTGTGCACAATTATTAGGCAAGTGAGTATTTTGACCACATCATCATCATTTTTATGCATATTTTCCACCTCCCCTTGAAATTTGAATGCTTTAAGTTGGCGTAAATATTTCAGGTGATGTGTATTTGTGTAATGAGGGAGGTTGTGGCCTAAGGAGATCAACACCCTATATCAGTGGTGGCTAACCTTTTTGGGCTCCTGTGCCAAAAATTGTGCGTGCGCTTGCATGCTCACGCTCGCATGCCAGCACCCAGAAGGCAATGCATGCCCCACAGTCCCTACGCATGCGTGTGCAATCCCCCCCTTACCTGCACTGTGCCTCACAGCTGATTTTTGGCCGGTTTGAGGCATTCTTTGGCCTCCCAGAGGCTTGAGGAAGGCTTCTGCAGGCTTTGCAGGCCAAAAACTAGCCCCGTTTCATCATTTCTGGTATTTTTGGAAAAACAGGAAATGACAAAACAGGGCTAGTTTTCGACCTGCAAAGCCTTCAGAAGCCGTCCTCAAGCCTCTGGGAGGCCAAAAAAAGTCTAAAACCAGCCGAAAATCAGTTGTGAGGCGTGTACGTGTGCAGTGAGGTAAGTTTTCCTACAGCTCCCATGCTTGCACAAATGGCTCTGCATGCCACCTGTGGCACGCGTGCCATAGGTTCACCATCATGGCCCTGTATCAAGGTGTGCATAATTATTAGGCAGCTTCTTTTCCTCAGGCAAAATGGGCTAAAAAAGAGATTTAATTGACTGAAAAGTCAAAAATTGTAAAAAGTTTTTCAGAAGGATGCAGCACTCTTGAAATTGCTAAGATATGGGGGCATGATCACAGAACCATCAAACATTTTGTCGCAAATAGTCAACAGGGTCGCAAGAAACATGTTGAGAAAAAAAGATGCACATTAACTGCCAAAGATTTGAGAAGAATCAAATGTAAATCAACAGCTACCAGGAATCCATTATCCTCCAATGCTGTCGTATTCCAGAACTGCAACCTACCTGGAGTGCCAAGAAATACAAAGTATTCAGTGCTCAGAGACATGGCCAAAGTAAGGAAGGCTGAAACCCGACTACCACTGAACAAGACACATAAGTTCAAACGGCAAGATTGGGCCAAGAAATATCTGAAGACAGATTTTTCAAAGGTTTTATGGACTGATGAGATGAGAGTGAGTCTTGACGGACCAGATGGATGTGCCTGTGGTTGGATCAGTAACGGGCATAGAGGTCTACTTTAACTCAGACTCCAGCAATTAGAGGAGGGATACTTGTATGGGCTGGTATTATTAAAGATGAGCTAGTTGGACCTTTTTGGGTTGAAGATTGACTCAAAATCAACTCCCAAAACTACTGCCAGTTTTTAGAAGACACTTTCTTCTAAAGCAGTGGTACAGGAAAAAGTCTGCATTTTGCGAGACCACCATGATTTTTATGCAGAACAATGCTCCATCGCATGCATTGAAATACTTCACTGAGTAGCTAGCTAGTAAAAGGCTTTAAAGATGAAAGAATAATGACATGCCGCCTTCCTCACGTGACCCAAACCCTGTTGAGAACTTGTGGGCCCTTCTTAAATGGGAGATTTATGGTGAAAGAAAACAGTGCACCTGTCTGAACATTGTCTGGGAAGCTGCGGTTGCTGCTGCTCAAAAAGTTGATCATCAACAGATCAAGAAACTGACAGATTCCATGAATGGAAGGCTTATGACTGTTATTGAAAAGAAGGGTAGCTATATTGGTCATTGATTTTTTTAAAACTATCAGAAATGCTTATTTGTAAATTTTGAGTTGTTTGTTTATTATTCTCACTTTAATGGATGAAAATAAATGGAGTGATATGGGAAATTTTTCATTTAGTTGCATAATAATTCTGCATACCAATAATTGCCCAATAATTGTGCACACATAAATATTCTCCTAAGAAAGCCATAACCTCACTTTTACTTTTTTAAATATTCAGGTTTGAGGTTTATTAACATTTTGGATTGACCAGGAGCACTGTAGTTGTTCAATAATAAAATTAATCCTCAAAAATACAGCTTGCCCAATAATTGTGCACACAGTGTAGAACAAAACTGCTTGCCAAAATACATATACGTTAGGAAAACTGTAAACATGTGTACATTAGGAGAAATATACACAAATATGCAAATAAGTTTTTTGCAACATTTAAACAAAACATAATTGTACTTTGAAGCAGGAAAGGATCAGACAGTTACAGGCAGAAGAATGAGAAAATGATAGGAAACTAATACAACAGATCATCCAGGTGGTGACATGACATGAAGGTATGTCATAAGCAGTTCATTGTTATTTTTAGCATTTTTGTTTATGATGGCGTACAAACAAGGTGCTTATGAAATCATATCAACACAAGATAGGCAAGATTACTACTTGCGCCTGCAAAGAATTTCTGAGCAGAGTCTATATTGCATGTTACAAAGCATTTGCAAATGCCGTCACAAGTGTGAAGAGCTGCTCAGTGAATTCTTGCATTCTCCTATCTAATGATAGCAATTAGCACACACAAACTCTTCACACAGTGCTGAACAGAATCCAAATAATGTACAGTGTAATTTTTGCATAAGACAACATGGGTTAGAATATAAAATCCACTTGGCCATAATCACCCATTTTAGATTGTGGCTATCAGAATTTTGCAATGTCTGGACCAAACTGGGATGGCATCAGTAAACCTTGATGTAGGGTAATGGGACAGAAGCAGCAGCAGGAGATGACAAACCTGGACACAGAGAGAGGTTATCACCTGCATGCTTGTTGGCAACATGAGCCTTCATCTCCATCTCTTCCATGGTAACAAAATCACAGGCTGTGCAGCAAATAGAAAACATCCATTGTTCTTTATCCACATGAAGCGACATATGACTGACAAACTGGACATTCAGCTCTGTTTCAAATCCACACACATGACAACTGGAGGCAGGAGAAAGTTGGAGATGTTAAAGAGTATGCTTTTATAGATGCTCTGTGACACAGATGAACATTGCCTTTTATTTTTTAATTCATTTTGACTAACTCCTGGTTTTATAAACTGTTCAGTTAAAATTGCTCTGAGATATTCTTTTGTCTGTTAAACCGCTCCTGAACTGACAGCCTTGCCAAGCTGATTAAGGGCAGGCACAAGGCAACAATCCTGAACATGCTATAATGATGCTAAATAATCATAAAGTTAATTAACAACTACAGGTTCCAGATGCTGCACATCACCTAGCTATCTCCTTTGGGCAATAAGATGCGCTGCAGCCTTGCCAAGATGTTCAGTCAGCCTACTATGTGGACAAAGTGGGAACTCATTCTGCTCTTTAGAGCAATTCCCAAGCTTTGGAAATATCCAGTATCAGCTTGCAATCTAACACCAAAAAGTCTGGAATTCTTAATACAAGTAAGCCAAAATGAGTGCAGGAACTTTTTCTGCCTGATTAGGCAAAAGCTTAATACACAAATAGAAATAGTCGTGAGGGACATTTTGCAAACAAGTTCTTCTCTTATAGCACTGATTTGGCATTTAAAGCCTCACATTTCCATAATTTGGCACTCTAGTTGCAAAGGATCACAACTTTCAGCCCCCACCCCCCCTCATTTTCACGCTGGATAGAGAGAACAGGAATTGTGGTCCAGCATTTGGGTGAAAGTTGAAAATGGCTGGCCTAAATAGTCTTGGATCAAGGAATTTTAGGAGTCATCTCATGAAAATTGTTTCTGTTCATGAGATAAGGAAAAATAAATATATTATCTGCCTTTTCTCTACCTGTAGAAGGATGTTAACATTTTAGAAGCAGTGTTTACCTCGAAGTCATCCAATAAGTTTCTATGATTGAGGATGGGTAGATCTGGATCTGTGTTTTAAGCAGTGCACCAAACTCTTTTTATTTGGATGGCCAAATTATAAAACACTTTCCAGAACTCTCTTTGTATACTTTAATTGAATAGTGAACATAAGGCTTTCTTTAGGCTAAGAACACTTAAGTAATCTCTTTTAATTCTGTTTACTAATGGATTTCATTGTTCCATTATTTTTTTAAGTTCCAATCGTATGTTTTAATTTAACCTGTGTGTGGTGCCTTGATTGAATCTTGCTTCGAAAGATAATATGCATATACTTATATTATCATTGTTTCTGCACCTGACACATTTACAGTGTTTCCTGCTATTTGTCGGAACATTAACAGACCAGATACTCAATTGCCAATTCACTCAACTAATCCAGAAATGGCCGCTTGGAATTGCAATGATTAATTTTTTTGGCTACAGCAGCTTGCTATTTGGATCCATTCATTTAATCATGGTACTACTTCCAATACTGGGCAGTTTGTGATTTGGAGCTTTCCAGTGAGGTACTACCCCTGGTATAAATTCCAAGCTACCCACAGTTTGCATCCCAAGTGTGAACCATGGCAGACTTTCAGGCAAGGCCTTGATGCAGCAGGCAAATGAGACATGCACTTATTCAGGAGCAAGTGTTGCAGCATATTCTAGATAACTGGAAGAATATAGCTCATATCCCAGTTTAATTCATATGTCAACGGGTTTTCAGAAGATCAAAAGTCAAGATTTTACCCAGTAGATACAATTATGATGTACAAAAATTCACTAATATCAAAAGTGGCTTCAGTTTCTGCTAGACCAATTCTTAAGTTAGTGAATTTCAATCTGTTATTGCAGAACATTCTAAGAAATATGAAGTTTGTCCTGGCATACATATATGGACATAAAATAGCTTCAGAACTAAGTTGGAAAGCACAAATTGGCAGAGCAATACCTTCAACAGAACTGTAAAGAAGAGAATATCTTTTCATTTTACTTCATTTTTGGGGGATGTACAAAATGTTCTACTGCAAAATGGTAATTACTTTGATTTGAACCTTTTGCAAGCCATAATAAACTCATCATTATCTTTAAATATAAATAGTATGGTGGTTGCTCTTTTATAAGCCAACAAGCCTAAACGGAAACCGAGAGCTGAGCTTGGTTTTTCAGCAGGATCCTCACCTGTAGTAATAAGGATGTTTCTTTCTATCATTGCCTTCAGATGTGACAGCACTGACAATGTCCTCGGTGTCTGTACTCACCAACTTCACAGAATGCACAGTCAGATGCTGGTTCAGATTAGCACGGCACTTAGCAGCATATGGGCACAAATGGCATTTATATTTTCTCTCTTCTGGAAAGAAACATTAAAAAGAAAACCCTAAGTGGAATTTCTTGTATGCATCTCTTGTCACAAGTACGAGCCTGGGACTTCCATCACTATGGAGAGTTGCTGAACCAGGTGAGGCAAAATGAGGGGTACCTGCTCAAATTTTCTAATAAAAAGTTTATGTTTATGTTTATATAAAGTTTATATTTCTAAAAAAACACCCACTGGGAATTTCCACAAAAAGGTCTTTGCACCAATCAATTTTTGCACCTGTGCAAACGTTGTCTCTGCTCCTTGCCAGCTGAAGTGGCTCAGCTGCAGGATATTTGAGTAAGACCTTGCTACTTTAAAAAATAATAATATTTTTTTCTGCTATCTTGTGGCTATCTAGATTTTTTGGAGCCCAGACATTGCAAGGGTTGTGAAGCTTTCAATTAATAGAGGAGACAGGTGTAAACTGAAATTCCCTGGGCTTCCCTGGGATTTAAAAGAATTTGCTACTTTGATTTTATTTAAAAAAAAAATAAACAGTAGGTGTACTAAAACATTATTTCTTTCTGAAATTTAAAACAGTGCAGACATGTTAAAACACTAAAGCAATTTTATCAAAACACTAAGTGCAAAGCAATGATCTAGAACAGTTTCCTCCAATGTGGGCAATTTCATGGACCCCCAACTATGAGTCCTATCCAGAGTGACCCAAATCCGATACATCACATTCAACCAGACTGGGAAAGTCTACTATAGAAGAAATCATTTGGAATACTTCAAGAAGTATAGCTGTACAAAACAAAATGATCATAATCTTTACTCTTAATATTTAATTTGATATTTTATTATAGACAAATAACACTTTGTGCAAGAAAATGTCTAATAATTTAATTGAATGCCATTAGTACATCTCTTCAATTCTTTTTCACCTGCAAATATAATGTTCGTAAGTTATTTGGAATATTTTCTAATAATCATATTTCTGTATGATTACAGAAGCGTACATGAGGTTTGAACGTACAGCTTACAATCATAATAATGTAATGGGGGCAGATTTTCTAACAGAAACAGAAGATTCCAGATTCCATTCATCTGTGGGAGGAAATAAGCAAATACTTTTCAGTGAAGAATTGAAGACAAAAGGTTGTTTTGATTTTATTATTATTTACTTATTTATTAAATTTATGGTTGTGATTAGTGAAATTTTTTTGATGGTTTACAACAGGGCACCCCAGCCCCTGGCCTGTGACTTACTATCTGGCCATGGTGTATTTGGAATTGGGCCACACGAGTGGCTGGCTGGAGTGCATGCAAACGCAGCTTATCTTACACGAGTAGCAGGCCAGCAGACACTTGCGTGTGTGGTTGCCGGCCCACTGCTTACACAAGCTGAGCTATGTCTGTGCACACCAGCCCGCCACTTGTGCAAGGGCTGCATCCGCACATGCTTGCCCACTGCTCTCTCAGCCCAGTTTCACCCTCCCAAGGCTGCCAAGCTGCAAAGTTTGGGATTGCTAATTTATAATACCAGTAAAGGCTGAAGTTATTGAAGTTAACATTAAAAATTAAAGTCTGAGTTAAAACCTAATATAGTAACAAAGAAATCAAATCATAATCAAGATAAAATGGTTTTTTTTTTAACTTATTCCTTTAACACAGTATGTTCCAGAGGTCTGAGGTGACTTCAGAAAAGGGAAAATCTTTCTGTTCTTAAGCAACTGAATTCTTAAAAATGAGGAATGACAACCCTACCTATTATCTGCCATTACTAGACAACTAATTGCTTCTATAAATGTGCTTTTCTTTAGACCTATTTTCCCTTTAGATTTGCAACTGGATGGGGACAGCAATTTTTATTACATAAATGGATTTAATGCAGAATATTCCAGTAACTGATCCTTATTTCATGATTCTTCCAGACAATCACAGAAAGAGGAGAAGGATATATTTTAATGATGGCTTTAAGTAATTGCCTTTGATTACTGCAGTGATTCCAGTTCTATTCACTCTTACTTGCATTCAAAGAAATGTATTCTGTTTCTCCGAAAAAAGAACAAATTCTATCCTATCTTATTTTAGAATTATAAATATTACCTGTGTGCAGGGAGAGATGTCGGGACAACGTCTGTTGTCGGCCAAACACTTTTCCACATACATCACAAGGAAAGAGCTGGTCATTAAACTTCCAAGATGGCAACCCATTTCCAGTTTCTAGTCCTATATTCTCCGTTTCTGTTCCTCCCCCAAAAAGAAAAAAAATGTCATTCTATTATTAGCAAGCCAAAGGCATTCTCAGTTTTGTCTATGTGTCTTGCTGGCTATACCATTGGCAACAAAAGGAAACTGTCCCACTCTCAGTGAATATAAACCAGACTTTACAAAACTATCAATCCTATTAAGAGTTTGTAAATAATATTTCACTACTAATCATATTAATCTGAATCCCTAGACAGAACAGGAACTTCCTCAAGTTATAATTTTAAAAGAAAAGTAAAAAACAGTTAAATGTCAGGGCTTGGATAGCAGGCAGATACCAGCCTCCGTCATATATGCTGTCTTCTGCTTTTAGTCTTTTGTTTATACAAATGACAACCTCTCTCACTGACTATTTCCAAGTAGCTAGTAGATCAAACCTGGAATTTGCTTTTATCAATTGATTTAATTAATTAATTACATTCTACAGCTTATTTTAGAGAATACAGAATTCATGTTTACAGCACAATTGGTTTTGTTGAGTTTTAATATTTCCAGTTATCCTCTTGCTTTTGACTATATTTCCTCAAGAGAGTTGGTAAGAAGGAATAGAAAGGAGACAAATTAAAATTTATGTGAATCCCAATACATCCTGAACTAGAGAGAAAATTAGCTCAAACATCCCAAGTAATCCTTTCTGTTCGCCTCTTGTTAGCCTAAGTATGCCAATCAATGTGGACCAAATCCTTCACCCCACTTCCAGTAAAAAGTGCATATGATCCATCTTTATGTGAGTGTACAATATGTGTAACCATCAGTTAAAATTGCCAATTAAGCAAAATCATTTATAAAGGTAATTCCTCTATCTGAATATTATCACAGACAATTCTCACGTGCATAAACACACAAGTACACTTAAAAACCTAAATACATTTCGGAGGGGCAAATAATAAGGAAAAAAAACAGGATAGAGATGGGCTAAGGGGGAAGGATTAGATATATTAGCAAGAGAATGGATGGAAAAAAGGAGCGGGAAGGGAAGGGCAGTTTAGGCCTTATAAACAGGTTTACAATTCAGAAGGCAAGCATTCCTCTCAAATGATGGCTACTGTTCAAAGGTTCCCATGATTTTCAACAACAAGGTCTGCAGTCATTATTCTTTCTATTCTTCCTTTTGGTTTGTCTTCTATACTCTGCTAATATAAGAGTGAAGGGTCCTTGGTGCTCTCTGAGCTTGGTTGTTTTGTTGCAGATGTTTCATTACCCAAAATAGGTAATATCATCAATGCTGTCAGTGGCAAGCCACTAGAACTGTGATGGAAACCTATGGCATGCATACCAAAGGCCACACACAGAGCCCTCTCTCTGGGCAAGCAAGCCATTCCCCCAGCTCAGCTCCACCGTGTATGCTTGCGCTCGCCTCCCACTGGCCAGCTGGTCTCCGGGTCTCTGCTGCACATGCATGGGGAGTGCAAGGGGGTTGTGCACTTATGCATGGGGGCAGGTCACACACACAGGGGTCATGCACGCATACGCGGGGCGCACATGGGGGCCACGCGCTTATGTGGGGTCACGCACGCATGTGTGGGGGGTGCATACAAATGTGCAGGGTCATGTGCACATGCACAGAGGTCACATGTGCATGTGCACGATGCATGCATGTGTGTTGCATTTGGGGGATGCGCATGTATGTGCGCGCTTTGGGCACTTGGTGCCGAAAAGGTTAGCCATCACTGTGCTAGAATATAAATTGAGAGCAAACCCCATTCCTTAGCACTCCTCATTTTAGCTGTGAGCTACAAATATTCTCCTTTATTAGTATTACAACAGTCTTGTATTCCCTGCCCCGCTCTAATTTCAAGATGATTATTTAAGGGGTGGGGGAAGAAACAGGATTTTCTTTCTTGAGCAGCACTGAATTCAACTGGGACAGACTGTTTTGGGATAACATGTGCATGAATGCATAAGCAGTCTGGACAGGTAATAAAGGTTGTGGTCTGAAGGATAAAAGATATGTTTTAAAATCTTATATAATTCCCAACTCAGCAAATCCCCTAAATATTAAACCGTATAAAATCACAAATAATGAGGGTCTTGAGCAGGATTTTGTTGCTGTTCTCTCTGTTTACCAACTTACTTCAACAAAAACCGATTCATTCCCTGAAGTGCTTGCCTTCTCAACATCAAGGCCTACACAGTTCCAAATATAGAAAAATAATGCCTTTCCACAATAGTAATTTGCATGTTTTACCCCAATGTTGAGAGGAAAAGCACTAGAAGAATTTGGCATATCCAAATAGCATTGGACTCAGTTTTAATTTGAATCCCTTTTCTTTCCCTTTTTGTTTTCTCTATTTAATTTCCAACTGCTATCAAGACATATTTGACATTAAAAAAGGCTCTCATTTCAGTTTTTGAGAAAAAAGGTTTATTATTTCTGCAGTTCAGCCTAAATGCTTATTCTTGCTCTTGAGATATTAATGGTTCCCAATGGTTCCCTCTTAATAATCCATATAGTTCCCAAAAATAACAATAGCGCTTAGACTTACTGCTTTACAGCCCTCTCCAAGTGATTTAGAGTCAGCATATTGCCCCCAACAATTTTGGGTCCCCATTTTACCCACCCCAGAAAGATGGAAGGCTGAGTCAACCTTGAGATTTGAACTGCTAAATTGAATGCAACCTGCAGTCAGCAGAAGTAGCCTGCAGTATTGCACTCTAACCACTGAGCCACCATATAACTCAATAATGCTTGTCAATGACCAATATCTTGGCTTCTTTCTTAGTCCAGCACTGAGTACTGAACTGGAAGGATTTTTTTTATGTCAGTGAGCCAATGCAGTAATCAAAATAAAATGTATGTACAATTTAAATATTTAATGTACAATTTTAATATTTAATGTAAGGCATCTTTTTTTTTTTTAGTGAAAAAGAGGTTTAATCAGATATCAGCCTGCCTAAGTTATATTAAGTGGAATTCACCAGTCAAGGTGTTTCATGAAAATGTTTTAGTAAACAATGTAAGGCTATTTCAGCTATAAAACTGGCTGGACTTAAACATAAACTGTTATTATATTCAAATACTATTTTTGGTTTGATTCACAATTATCAATTTTCTATGTTAAAAGATGTGAATATTATACAAGTTTGATAGCTTGTTAGGATATTAAAATGAGATTAATTCAAAGTATTATTTTTCAAAGGCTTGTTTATCATCCCCTTTCCCTGCCCTTATACAATTTTTGAGTTTATAATCAGCTAATAACTAAGTTGTTTTAAATGGTCAGGTGTAAAAGTTAATACTGGATATAAGTTCATACTATTGATGTAGGTACAGCCTACTGATATGTATTCATAGCTACTGCTATCTTCCTTGATAAGAAACAAGTCCTCCTGTTAAACTAGGAAGTAAATATAATGTTCAAAATAGTATATGAAATTATTGAAGTCCAAAGCTTTTTGCATTCTTTTTACTTTAAATCTTTTATTTTTAATGGAGAAAAAAGATAATTCAAAATCAGAAACTCTTTTGTCCCCATATATTTTGTGTAACTAGTGGAGAAACAACATTAAAAGGTCTGGAACAGGACTTATTTTCTTCTTGGAACAGGACTTATTTTCTTCTTGGTTTCAAACGTTTTGGTGCTTGTCAAAGTAGCTTTTTCAGAAGGAGAAAGTTGATTAGGGGAATCTGAGTAGTAGACAGATTGTTGGAACACAGCAACTTCCAAAATTCTTAGGGGTCATTAAGTGTAGCCTCCCAGGTAAACCTGTGAAATGGTCTTAATCTTACCAGGGACTGAGGAGAGAGCAGCAGAAGAAAGGCCTACTCAGATTCCTCTTAACCAACTTGCACAGTTTGAAGAAACTACTTGGATAAGCAGCAAAAACATTTCAACAGTTTGCATGACTCAGCTTCCAGACAACTCTACCTGGATGACAATCTTCACTGACAACACTGAAAGGAGGTAATTGAATGGCATTTTGGATAGAAAAATAGTGGGCTTTTATAAAAATTCATATTTGTGAAAAAACACATTCAAAAAAATAAGTTGGGATTCTTTGCAAACAAATAAGAGAGAGTTCTAGAAAGAATTAACCTTAATAGAATGGCTCAGGAATTCTGGGAGTTAAAGTCCACAAGTCATAAAAGGGCCATGGTTCCCCGCTCCATCCTAGGCCTATATCACTAGTCACATTTAAAGCCAAATGCAACCTATCAGACATACTGTATATGTTGCCATTCGGTAATTTCTAACCGTGCAACTATTTTACTAGGACTAACAAAATGAACAAATATCTGGTGCACTACAATAACATGTATTACTGTATCGGTGTCAGGATTCCGTTTTATAAATACTTCAGCTAAGTATGATCAGATATATTTGTCCACATATCCTCCCTTTATCGTAATAATGAGAACTATAAACAACAATTGTCATCACTCTCTCTCCCAGCATTCTGTTTCACTTGCATGCATGCATGTCTGTCTGACCTATTGGGAAGTGCTCTTTTTTGTATAAAGCCACAGCAATCTGGATAGATTATCAGTCAAAGAAAATACTGTATAAGCGAATTACTGTGATGAATTCAAGCAAGACCTGAAAGCTAGCTTAACTGAGCAACAAACAGCTATTCAGTCATTATCACGAGTATTTATTATAAGTCCCATCTTTCAGAAAAACTATGGTTCATGTAGCAGTTGAAACAACAAAAGCTTGCCACTTGATGGGTATCCTCTGGGTGCTACCATTATCTGCTATTTGTCTTATAATAATACAAATTATTCTTGATGTGTGATTAATCATGCATTTTCCAAATTAGCCCTTCTGCAAAGTTTAAAAGGCAGATGGAAAGAAATAGCTGAAGTATGTATAAAATGTTTAATTTCTCTGAAATCAATTGTGAACCATTCTTTCAATTATTCATTTTGAGTTCAAGAGGATGGTCATTTGACTCTACAACAACATATGTTTCAGCAGAGCTTTTGGAGTACTTAATCAAATAGGCTGCAGAGAGAAAATTTTGGTAACGATTAT